CATATGCTAATCCATAAAGCAAGTATCCACAAAAAATTCAAAAAATTCAAAAAAATTAAAATCATATCATATATCTTTTCTGAAAACAATGGAATGAAGCTGGAAATTAACAACTTAAGACACTGTAGAAAATATGAAAACACACGGAGAGTGAACAACATGTTACTGGTTGAACAGTGTATCATAGAAGAAATAAAAAAATTCCTAGAAGCGAATGAAGATGAAAACACTACATATCAAAACTTACGTGATACAGCAAAAACAGTGTTAAAAAGGAAGTTCATAGCAGCTAGTGCCTCCATCAAGCAATTGGAAAGGTACCAAATAAAGGATCTAACAATGAATCACAAAGACATAAAAAAACAAGTCAAACTCAAAATTAGTAGAAGGAAAGTAATAACAAAATTAGAGAAGAAATAAACAAAATTGAAACAAAAAAATCAGAGATGAGAAAGTAAACATTACAAAGGATATGACAGAAACAAAAAGAACCATCAGGAATTACTACAAACAGCTATATGCCAACAAATTGGAAAATCTAGTTGAAATGAATAGATTTCTGGACATATAGAATCCATCAAAATTGAGTCATAAAGAAACAGAAATCTAAAAGGACCAACAACCATTGTGGAATTTGAATTAATAGTAAAGACCTTCCCAAGAAAGAAAAGCCCAGGACTGGATGGCTTCACTGCTGAATTCTACAAACCCTTTAAATAAAAGCTAACTCAAATTCTTCTCAAACTGTTCAAAACAATTGAAACAATGGGCAAAATACTCAACAAAATACTATCTAACTGAACTCAACAATACATCAGAAAGATTATTCACCCAGACCTAGTGGGATTTATCTTTGATATGCAGGAATGCTTCAACATATACAAATCAAAAAAATGTGATACATTAACATTGAAGAATAAAAACTACATTGTTGCTGTGGATTCGTTCTGAAAGGAGAAGCGTGGTGGGGGCAAGAGGCACAGAGTCACCACACAGACCCTGGGAGTCGGGTGAAAGCGGGCCAGAGGTGAGCAGCCCGCAGACTCATTTATTTCAGTTGATACAGCAGCTTATATAGCCAAGGCAGCCAATCCGGTCAAGGGGCGATCTATGCCCTAACCAATCACAGCCTGTTGCCAGGCAGTTTCCAAAGCCATCCAATCACAGCCTGTTGCCAGGCAGGCTCTGTTGTCATGTGATTTGCAAAGCCGTCCAATCACATCCTGTTGCCAGGCAGGCTCCATTGTCAGCGGCATCTTGGCATGGCCTTCTCATTCCACCACATTTCCCCCTTTTTGTTTATTTTTGAGCAACAGAAAGCATGATTCTTGGCCATACCATTGCTGACCCCGTTTCCATGTGGTCTCCGTATGTGGCTGTGCCTGTCTTAGGTTGTCCCCCAGGGGATCTTACCCGTCCCTGACTAACCAGCGCTCAAAACAGGGGACCACAGGAGTGCTTGCTCAGATGAGGATAGGAATGAGGAACAATGGTAATCAGGAATGGCGTGACCACACATAGGCTGTGGCATTTGAGTGGCTGACCAGAGCTAGTGGGGTATAAAGCAGTAGTGAATGGGACTACGGGCACTTTCTTAGGGTAGGATGATACGGCAGGTGTGTCCGCCAACAAGGTGGACTCTCAGTCTTGTTCAGGTGGTTCTGGTTGGCTGTCAGGTCAGGCTTGATATTTCTGGCTGGTACCCTAATGGGCTGTCCCGCATTCTCTGGAAAGACACAAGCATATCCTCGGCCCTTGGCTAGCAGAAGCCTTTTTACAGGCGTTGGAATCCAGGGCCTGAATTCTGCATCTGCTCCTACATTAACGGCAAACATGCAGGTGGGATGGGGTCTAGCAGCTGCCCTGAGAGCCTGGGGTGCCTGGGGACTGCCACAAATGAGATCCTCGCTGGGTGCGGATGGGAAGACTTTGCATGGGTTATTGCCTCGAGGTTGTCTAAGTTCATCCCATGGATATTTGGGCAGTGGCTGACTAGGCATTGCTACTTTGTTTGCTTCATTGTCATTTCACTGTCGGAGCTCTCTCTCCCTAAGTCATCAACTGTTGCCTGTGAGGCAGAGGCCTTGAGTGAGAGGTTCTTATCACTCACAGATTCATTATGTTTGGTAATCTGCATGGGATTCTGAGAGGGGGGTATCTTTCCCAAGTTTGAGTGTTTAAGAGCAGTGCACCACGCCAACTCTAGCCAAAGGGAAGACATGCACAGCACTGCTGCCATACGAAACAAATTCCTAGCACCTCAGCAGTTGATGGCATTCTGCAGGAGCTTCCCTACATTAGGCGAACAGACAGTGGTGTATCAGATCGTAAATATGTTTTGTGCTTAGTGGAAAACTTCCTTGATTTGTTAGATCAAGGCCATATGCCCACACGGTGTCTTCAGAGTGTCACCTCTCTTGAGTGATGGAAGATGACTTGGTTCCGAATTCTGGGATGATCAGTCCCTTATGTGAATTCGCCAGGCGAACCAAAAGTAAAAGGAGGAGCCAAGAAGTAGCATTATGCTTCTGGGCGGCGTATGCCTAACCTGGGGTCACGTAGACTGAGGACAAGAACAAGGAAAGGGGCTTAGGAGGGGATTCTGTGCTCACCCTCACAGAACTGAACAGCACACAAAACACCAAGGGGCCTACTTGCCGAAATCAAGGGGTGACCTCACCGAGTCTAACACGCTGTCTCTCTCTCAGTCATATTGGTGTGCCAGATGTTGAGGTTGATTTGTTCTGAGAGGAGGAGCATGGTGGGGGCAAGAGGCACGGAGTCACCACACAGACCCCGGGAGTCGGGTGAAAGCGGGCCAGAGGTGAGCAGCCCGCAGACTCATTTATTTCAGTTGATACAGCAGCTTATATAGCCAAGGCAGCCAATCCGGTCAAGGGGCAGTCTATGCCCTAACCAATCACAGCCTGTTGCCAGGCAGTTTCTGAAGCCATCCAATCACAGCCTATTGCCAGGCAGGCTCTGTTGTCAGCGGCCATCTTGGCATGGCCTTCTCATTCCACCACACTACATGGTTACCTCAAAAGATGCAGAGCAAGCATTTGATAAAATATCATATCCTTTCATGATAAAAATCTTAAGCAAGTTGTGTCTAGTAGGAGCATACCTCAACACAATCAAGGCAATATATGACAAATCCACAGCCAGCATCATATTAAATGGGGAAAAGTTGGAAGCATTTCCACTAAGATCCAGAACTAGACAAGGATGCTCACTTTTACTACTGCTATTGAATATAGTTCTGGAAGTTTTAGCCAGAGCCATTATGCAAGAAAAAGAAATCAAAGGGACAAAAATGGGAAAGCAGGAAGTCAAACTATCCCTGTTTGCAGATGATATAATCCTATACATAGGAGAAACATAAGACTCCACTAAGATTATTGAACTCATATATGATTTTGCCAAAGTTGCAGGATATAAAATCAATATACAAAATCGGTAGCCTTTGTATACACAAAATGTCATGTCTGAGAGAGAACATTTGAGATCAGTCTCATTCACAACAGTTATAAGAAAAATTAAATATCTTGGGATAAATTTCACCAAGGATGTCAAAGATCTCTATAATGAAACTGACAAAACACTAAAGAAAGATATAGAAGACACAAGAAAAATGGAAAAAGCCTCCATGTTCATGAATTATTAGAATTATTAGAATTAATATCATCAAAATGTCCACACTACCCAATGCAATTTACAGATTCAATGCAATCTCAATCAAAATACCAAAGATATTCTCAGAACTAGAAAAGATGACCCTAAAATTCATATGGAATCACAAGAGACCCTGAGTAGCTAGAGCAATCCTAAACAACAAAAAACAAAGCTGGAGGCACCACAATACCAGATTTCATGACATACTGCAGGGAAGTTATCATCAAAGCAGCTTAGTATTGGCAAAAGAATAGACACATCAACCAATGGAACAGACTAGAGCAGACTAGAGACTCCAGAAATTAATCCACATATCTACAACCAACTAATCTTTGACAAATTAGCTAAAATCATTCCCTGGAGAAGTGATAGTCTCTTTAAGAAATGGTGTAGGGAAAATTGTATCTCTCCATGCAGAAGTATGAAACAAGACCCCTACCTTTACCCTATACAAAAATCAACTCACAGTGGATCAAGAATCTAAATCTAAGGCCTGAAATCATTAAATTACTGGAGGAAAACATAGGGGAATATTGCAAGACATTGGCTTGCAGACAAGACATTGACTCTTGGAGAAAATCCCAGAATCACAGTCAATAAAGGCAAAAATAGACAAATGAAATTACATCAAGCTAAGAAGCTTCTGCACAGCAAAGGAAATAGTCAACAAAGTGAAGATACAACCAGAAGATTGGCAGAAAATATTTTCAAGCTATGCAATTTATAAATGATTAATATCTGGGATCTATAAAGAGTTCAAGAAGCTCAACAACAATAAAACAAATAATCCAGTTAAGAAATATGCTTATCAATATGAACAGGCATTTAAAGGATGAAATACAAATGGCCAACAGACACATGAAAAGATTCTGAGGATCACAAGCCATCGAGGAAATGTGAATGAAAACCACTGTGAGGTTTCACCTCACCCCAGTTGGAATGGCTAACATTCTCACCTTAACGGCGGTATGGTAGATTAAGCCTCTGCCTGCAATGCTGGTATCCCATATGGGCACCAGTTCAAGTCCTGGCTGCTCCACTTCTGATACAGCTCTCTAATGTGCCTGGTAAAGGAGTGGAATATGGCAAGTCCTTGAGCCCCTGCACCCACTTGGGAGACCCAGAAGAAGTTCCTGACTCCTTGCTTCAGATCAGCCCAGCTTCAGCCATTGTAGCTATTTGAGGAGTGAACCAGTGGATGGAAGACCTCTCTCTCTTTCTCTCTTCCTGTCTCTGTAACTTTGCCTCTCAAAAAAAATAATAAATCTTTAAAAAAAAAGAATAGCTATCATCTAAAAATTTAAAAGTAAGAAATGCTGGCGAGTATGTGGGGAAACAGATATCCTAAGGCACTGCTGGATATTATAGAATATGGAAATTCCTCAGAAATCCAAAGTAGAGTCCACTCCTGAAAATTTACACAAAGGAAATGAAATCAATATACCAAAGAATGGTCTGCATCCCCTAGTTTATAGCAGCTAAACTTGGCAATAACCAGGATATGGAATCAACCTCAACTGATGATGGGATGTAGAAGTTGTGGTATGTATACAAGATGGAGTACTGCTCAGCCTTAGAAAAGAATGAAATCCTGTCTTTTGTAATAGGATGGATGCAATTGGAGACCACTATGCTAGTGAAATAAGCCAGTCCCAAAAAGACAAATATCATACATTTTCCCTGATTTGTGGTAACTAAAATTCAGAATACAAAATAACAACATATATGAGTAAAATTAAAATTTTTGAGATTTAATTATTGTTTACAGCCCTTGCTCTTGAGAAGCAGTGGTTTTTCTACTTACTATTTGTTGAATTCTTTATTTAGTGGAGCATTAAGTTTGTAATTCTAAAGAAAATAAAAACTATGTCATTGTAAAAATTAAAAGAAAAAATGAAGGAAGGGTGAGAGTGAGGGAGAGAGGTTAGAATGGGAACTATTGATATCCATTTCCGGGTTGGCAAAAGGGGCGGCGGCGGCGGTGAGAAAGCTTGCCGAGGGGCGAGCGGGACAGGACGAAGCCGGAGCGGAGGGGGCAGAGGATTCGCTCCTGGAGCGGCTGCGACCAGGCTGCAAAGAGGCTAGGACGGGCTGGATCCGTCGCTGAGGCCAACACAGAGCCGCCCAAGCTGAGTAGAGATGAGCAGCAAGGTCGAGGCGCCCTCTTACAGGACATATGCAAAGGGACCAAGCTGAAGAAGGTGACCAACATTAATGACCGGAGTGCTCCCATCCTGGAGAAGCCCAAAGGGAGCAGTGGGGGTTATGGCTGTGGAGCAGCTGCCTTGCAGCCCAAAGGAGGACTTTTCCAAGGAGGAGTGCCCAAGCTCAGACCTGTGGGAGCCAAGGATGCTTCAGAGAATCCAGCTGGTAAGCCAGCTCTACAAGTCCCCAGTTCTCGAGCTGCCGCCCCCAGGCCTCCAGTGTCTACAGCCAGCGGGCGTCCTCAGGATGATACAGACAGCAGTCGAGCCTCACTCCCAGAACTGCCGCGGATGCAGAGACCCTCTTTGCCAGACCTCTCTCGGCCTAATACCACCAGCAGTACTGGCATGAAGCACAGCTCCTCTGCCCCGCCTCCGCCCCCCCCCCAGGGCGGCGTGCCAATGCACCCACTACACCTCTGCCTATGCACAGCAACAAAGCCCCAGCCTACAACAGAGAGAAACCCTTGCCGCCAACACCTGGACAGAGGCTTCATCCTGGCCGAGAAGGACCTCCTGCTCCTCCCCCAGTCAAACCACCTCCTTCCCCTGTGAATATCAGAACGGGACCAAGTAGCCAGTCTCTGGCTCCTCCTCCACCGCCTTACCGCCAGCCTCCTGGGGTCCCCAATGGACCCTCCAGTCCCACTAATGAGTCAGCCCCTGAGCTTCCACAGAGACACAATTCTTTGCATAGGAAGACACCAGGGCCTGTCAGAGGCCTGGCACCTCCTCCACCCACCTCAGCCTCCCCCTCTTTACTGAGTAATAGGCCACCTCCCCCAGCGCGAGACCCTCCCAGTCGGGCAGCAGCTCCTCCACCCCCACCATCCATGATCCGAAATGGTGCCAGGGATGCTCCGCCTCCCCTCCCACCATACCGAATGCATGGGTCAGAACCCCTGAGCCGAGGAAAGCCCCCCACCTCCGCCTTCAAGGACACCAGCTGGGCCACCCCCTCCTCCACCACCTCTAAGGAATGGCCACAGAGATTCCATCACCACTGTCTGGTCTTTCTTGGATGATTTTGAATCAAAGTATTCCTTCCATCCAGTAGAGGATTTTCCTGCTCCAGAAGGATATAAACACTTTCAGAGAATATACCCCAGCAAAACAAATCGAGCTGCCCGTGGAGCCCCACCTCTGCCACCCATTCTCAGGTGAAGCCTGGCTTGCTCCTGTTCTCAGGAAAAGGATGGACCCTCTTTACTTCTCAGATGGTCCCTTCCATTCCCCTGAATCCTGCATGAGAGCTCCTAACTTGTTTCTCCAGTGCAACCAACCCCTAGACTCGAAGCGTCCTCCCAGCTCACCTCCATCTATGCATCTCGTCTCTGGATTTGGCGATCGGACTCTTTGTATTGCAGTAGGGTCTCAAACCCTGCATCCGTCCTCTAGTAAGCCTTGCTAGCCAAATGAGGAAGAAGTTTCTGTGTCTCCTGCTCTCCTCCTGGGGAAAGGTGCCTTGCTATGATAAGTTAACTTGTTGGGGCAGGGTGAGGAATGATAGCCCTACCTCCTCCTCCCAACTGTGGGGGAGCTTCGCAGGTGTACAATATTTCATCATTTAGGAGGCTGGCATGGCAAGGACTTCTGGGGAAGAGGGACATTATTAGTGAAACAGGAAAGGAGTTTTCAGAGAAGTGATCTGTTTTAAAGGTCAGGTTTGGAGAATGGACAAGGAAATGGGTTTGCTTTATTTTTAGGGGTATTTTGTTTTTTTTTCTCACTTTTCCTCCCCACTGCCCAGGGATAAGTTGGATATAAAGACTAAATACTAATCAGTTAAACTAAACATTCAATAAAAAGAAAGGGTAAAGTAAACTGAGGATCATTTTAGAGCTAGTCGGTTCCTCTGCAGCAAAGGGACCAGGAGCCATTTGAGCCTTCTGAGACTCTCTGCTCCATTCCTCAGGGTGCTAGACTGAGGCATATTCGTTCTCCCTTCTGCCACCCATTCCCTCAAGAAAAAAAATCACTTCTAGTTGGGAAAGTCATTCATTAACAAATTCCAAAAACCTCTGTTGAGAGATCGAAAGATAAGGCCTGAGCCTGAACCTTGGCCTTAACCTCAACTGTGAGTCTTGTCTCAGTTGTTTCTGACTGTCCATAAAGTGGTCAGTGGGCCTTGGAGTCCTTTAGCTCCTGGAGGCTGCCTGCAGATGACAGAAAAGGTAAGAGTGAAGCACTTCATGGAAGGGACAGACAGGGGAGAGGGGACTACAGAGGATTTTATGGTCTGCTCATACTGAAACTCAGAGCCTGTCTGACTGAGCAGGCTCTTCCTGTTCCTTTCTCTACCACCCTTGCCTTCCCAAGGCAGTAGGGGTTAACACAGCAGGGTAGAGAAGGGTAAGGAAGTGAGTAGAAGCTTACAGGGATATTCAAAGATTCCTCTATGCCAAGAAACACATCAGTGAGGTGTGCCTCAGTTCAGTAGGTCTTCCTGGCAGCCAACACCTGGACAGAGGCTTCATCCTGGCCGAGAAGGACCTCCTGCTCCTCCCCCAGTCAAACCACCTCCTTCCCCTGTGAATATCAGAACGGGACCAAGTAGCCAGTCTCTGGCTCCTCCTCCACCGCCTTACCGCCAGCCTCCTGGGGTCCCCAATGGACCCTCCAGTCCCACTAATGAGTCAGCCCCTGAGCTTCCACAGAGACACAATTCTTTGCATAGGAAGACACCAGGGCCTGTCAGAGGCCTGGCACCTCCTCCACCCACCTCAGCCTCCCCCTCTTTACTGAGTAATAGGCCACCTCCCCCAGCGCGAGACCCTCCCAGTCGGGGAGCAGCTCCTCCACCCCCACCACCCATGATCCGAAATGGTGCCAGGGATGCTCCGCCTCCCCCCCACCTTTTTTCTTTTTTGTCTTCCAGGTGCTGCTTTATTAAAAAGCACAGAGAAAGTGGAGGTTCTAACTGAGGTTGGACAGTGAGACAGGGACTTTGTTTTCTGCAACAGCAGGCTGGGGTTCCTGGACTGCACACATAAGATGCCACCTGCAGAGGCTGCTCAGAGCTTGCCATGAGAGCCAGCAGACCATGGCTATTTAAAAAGGATGGGGAAAATTAGTTTAAAATTTCACCAGACACATCATAGGCATAAATTGCCTTGGGGACCTTTCTGATCTGTTGGATCACAGGCTAAGGATTGTCTCAGATGAAACCCAAGTTTTCCTAGTACTAGTGAGGGGCCCAACTTGGTTTATTTGTGTGGGGTCTGCTATCCTTAGCCATCCCTTGGACCGCATTGATTCTGGCACCAACAATGATTAGGTCTGTCACCAAACATTTTCTAATCGTTCTTTTCATATCCATTAGCAGTTACCTCTCAGAAGTATCCCCAGCATTCCTGAAGTGAATAGAGCTGAGAGGGGGGATGCTGGTGGAGGGAAAAGTAGAGAGTTCCAGGGCTGACGCTCAGCAGAGTTCCAGGGTACATGCTGACACGTTACTGAACTTTGACTGTGAAGTCTTCCCATTTATTTTTGAAATGGGAGTTGATGCCTTTTGTACAATGTTATCAAAGTGTCTTTTTCTTTATTTCAAACATGGAGTGTCAAAATAAGTATCACAAGTAAGGCCAAACCCCAGCTGTTCTTTGGGGCTGCTACCTTCCTCCCCATGACCTGCTGCCCCTCACACTCCCAGCAGTTGGACTGTCACCTGGGTGTTGATTGTATTTCACTCTAGGCCTCATGAGAAAAGGCCTATGTCTAGATCCTGTCCATGGGTTTTCTGTTTCAGAGCATGTTTGATGACAGCATCTGTTTAAATGTCTTTGCCTTATACATTATTTGGTCCACTGTTAATAATAGATGCATTATCATGTATATTTACAAAAAAAAAAAAGAATGGGAACTATTATTATGCTCTTTTTTTTGACTGATAGAGTTAGACAGTGACAGAGAGAAAGGTCTTCCCTCTGTTGGTTCACCCCCCAAATGGCCGCTGTGGCTGGTGCTGTGCCAATCTGAAGCCAGGAGCCAGGTGCCTCCTCCTGGTCTCCCAGCACTTGGGCCATCCTCCACTAACCTCCCGGGCCACAGCAGAGAGCTGGACTGGAAGAGGAGCAGCCGGCACTAGAACCTGGCACCCATATGGGATGCCAGCACCACAGGTGGAGGATTAGCCAAGTGAGCCATGGTGCCGGCCCCTATGCTCTTTTTTTTATTATTATTGGACAGGTAGAGTTATAGACAGTGAAAGAGAGACAGAGAGAAAGGTCTTCCTTCTGTTGGTTCACTCCCCTAATGGCCACCACAGCCAGTGCTCTGCTGATCCAAAGCCAGGAGCCAGGTGCTTCTTCCTGGTCTCCCATGTGGGTGCAGGGACCCAAGCACTTGGGCCATCCTCCCCTGCCCTCCTGTGCCACAGCAGAGTGCTGGACTGGAAGAGGAGCAACCGGGACTAGTACCCGGTGCTCCAACTGGGACTAGACTCAGAGTGCCGGCACCACAGGCAGAGGATTAGCCAACTGAGCCATGGCACTGGCCCCCTGTGCTCTTAAAATATATGAAATACAAGAAATTTGTTTCCTTTTATAAATAAAAAATAACTTAAAAAGATATTATGTAAAGAGTATAATTAAATGAAGGCAACATTTATAAATATCTATCTACCAAAGAAATGGTATCCACACACTTTTATGCTATATATAATTACATATTTTACTATATATGAGAAAACAGGTAGAATTTATCTTTCTCTGTGTTATTTCACTTGGCATAGTGATATCCAGTTTCATTCATTTTGTTTGCAAATATCAGGATTTCATTTTTGTTTGTGGCTGAGTGGTGCTCTACTGTGTGTTGTACTTTGTTTTCTTTATCCTGTCATCTATTGAGTGGCATCTGGGTTTATTCCCTATCTTTGTTATTGTTAATGGGGCTACAGTAAGTTGTAGAAGTATATGTACACTGTACAATATAAAACAATACAAATTTTTGAATTGTTGAAATATTAAAAAGAAATGAGAGATTTGGTTGGCATTTGTCTCTGGTTCCTAGGAGACAGCCTCCTGTTGTGATTTGTTTTCCATGTTATAATTTGCATGAATCTAAGCAAACTGATATTTTAATTATGACTGGTATTGACTATGCTTTGACAGCACTAACTCCATTTTGAGCTTTTTCTTATAACAAATGCTGTAACTGGGCCAAAGGGGCTGACCAACAGCCACCCTTGACACTGGTTGACAGCCACATTGACTATTGCATGCCCATATGCAAACTGGATGATGGGCTCCAAGACTTTTCCTTCCAAGATTGACCTCTAGAAGCTGAGATAACACACTATGTGAGGTGATCAATAATAGTGTGCCAATGCCTTCAGACTGCTTACCTGAGACATCTCACTGTGACTTTACCCTTTCCAAGTACTCACTCTGAAAAGATATCAGGGACAAGAGGCTATCCTGGAGTGAGAGAGTCTCTTACTTCTTTGTTAACTATTCAATGGCAATCCAAATGTGTTTGAAGGAACTACTGCAGACCACTGGGACAATCTGTTCCATGGACACACAGTGTTTGGGTCTCTGTGAACATTATAGACTCAGGTAATTCATTTTATTCAGTTTTGCCTTTATTTACATATATTCCTTTTGCTTATTTTTTCTTATTCTGCTTTTGTGTGCAACGAAATAAACTGATTAATTCAGAAGCTTCTTTGTTTCACTTGACTTGTCATTCGATCAGAGAAAAAAAAGCTTTCTGCTCTTGGAGAAATTGTAATACTTGAAGTTAAAACTGTTACCAGATATTGAGGAGCTGTACCACTCATATCAGTCCTATGTAACATCTCCAAGTTCTTGGAAACTTCCCAAGTGATGTACTGTATTAAGAAATAGATGGGGCCGGTGCTGTGGCCCAGTAGGTTAAAGCCCCAGCCTGCAGCACCGGCATCCCGTATGGGAGCCAGTTCAAGTCCCAGCTGCTCCACTTCCAATCCAGCTCTCTGCTATGGCCTGGGAAAGCAGCAGAAGATGGTCCAAGTCTTTGGGTCCCTGCTCTCATGTGGGAGACCCAGAAGCTGCTCCTGGCTCCTGACTTAGGATTGGCACAGCTCCAGCCATTGTGGCCATCTGGGGAGTGAATCAGTGGATGGAACACCTCTCTCTCTCTCTCTGGCTCTAGATCTCTATGTAACTCTGCCTTTCAAATAAATAAAATAAGATCTTTTCAAAAGAAATGGATGAAAAGATGGCTCTCAGGTTTCTGGCTTGAGCAGTCAGGTGCACAAAGGCACTATTTACTGAGACGGTGAAGTCTGCAGAGGAACAGATTCATGAAGCAACAAGAAAGAACTACATTTTGGATAAGCTGAATATATATATATATATATATATATATATATATATATATGACTCAAGAATTCAGATGCATTATTCAGAGGGAGAATCTGCACTATAATTGGCTTTGCTGTAACCTAATCCTATTTTCAGTGAGAGATGTATTTTTTTAAAGATGTATTTATTTATTCGAAAGTCAGAGTTAGAGAGAGAGAGAGAGAGAGAGAAATAGGTCTTCCATCTGATGGTTCTCTCCCCAATTGCCACAACGACTGGAGCTGTGCCAATCCAAAGCCAGGATCCAGGAGCTTCTTCCCGGGTGTCCCACATGGTGCAGGGGCCCAAGGGCTTCGGCCATCTTCTACTGCTTTCCCAGGTCATAGCAGAGAGCTGGATCCAAAGTGGAGCAGCCAGCTATTGAACTGGCATTCATATGGCATGTTGGCACTTCTGGCCAGGGTGTTAACCTGCTGTGCCACAATGCCGGCCACGGAGATGAATTTCATCACTATACCTTCCAGAGCTAGTCATCATGAGGTTATAGCTTAAATTCTGAGCACTAAGTTGTCAGTATGGTGACCCTCCTTTAAACACACTTGCAGAGAAAATTGACAAATGAAACTGATCAGTTTCAGATCCATGGCTCCCTTCCAATCTAAGATGTAGTGTGGACCTACCACACTCTAGCTTAAATGTTTAACAGATATATTTTCCTAACAACCCTTCTAGGTGGCTCTGTTACTCTGCCTAGTATATAAAGGAAACAAGGCTTAAAGAGATTAAGTAGCTTTCTCAGTCCTATACAGTACACAGCCTGGTTGGTAACTGACAGAGTCAAGACTTGAAGCCAAGTATGTCTGATCCCTCCAATCTTTCATGGTTTTGCTCAAATTTATTAGTTTTCAGGGCCGGCGCTGTGGCACAGTGGGTTAATGCCCTGGCCTGAAGCACCAGCATCCCATATGGGCACTGGTTCTAGTCCCGGCTGCTCCTCTTCCAATCCAGCTCTCTGCTATGGCCTGGGAAAGCAGAAGATGGCCCAAGTCCATGGGTCCCTGCACCCACATGGGAGACTCAGAAGAAGCTTCTGGCTCCTGGCTTTGGATCGGTGCAGCTCTGGCCATTGCAGCCATCTGGGGAGTAAACCAGCAGATGGAAGACCTCTCTCTCTCTCTCTGCCTCTCCTTTCTCCGTGTAACTCTTTCAAATAAATACATAAATCTTTTTAAAAAATTTATTTTGACATATGACAACTTAAATATCAACAGAATCTTCTTTAGAACATGAAATACAACTATCTCCCCTCCCTAGCTCTAAGTCTTTCTTTTCCCCTTAGAATTTCCTGTATTTTCTTCTGAAAAACAAAAAAGTAGCTTCTACCAAGGACTGCATAAAGAAACATGGATAAGAGTCAATTTTTCTAATGAAATTGCTATAACTGGGATTTTTAAGGGCACTATTAAATGTGATCATAACTGTGAGCTACTTAGAGAAAACATTCACCTTGGCACTACTGCTTTCACTGGAAAAGTCATTATGATCTGGTAGGTGAGGAATGAACAACTCCTACAGCAGTTGCTGTATTTATTAATTACTGAAGTAGGCTCAGCAATGAGGAAAATGCAATTCTCTCAGGCTTAGCTTGCTACCATTGCAAAAACAACTGACCACACCCTCCACATGGCTCTTGTGGTCTCATTTTATTAATATGTAAGACAGCTCTGAAATGAAGACAAAGTAGGTAAGCAAGTAGGAGACTGCCAAATTGATTTCAAACTCAGTCTTGAAATATTTTTTTAAAAAACATTTTGTTTATTCGTACTGTAGACTTTCCAAAATGCAGAGGTTCCATTCAGCAAATTATTCCTCTCTCCCTCTCTCTCTCTATCTCTCTCTCTTTCTCCCTCTCCCTCTCCCTCCCTCCCTCCCTCCCTCTCCTCTGTGTAACTCTGATTTTCAAATAAATAAATACAGCTTTAAAAAAATTAGGGCTTATAGCACAACAAGCTCAAATCTTGTTTTCCCCTAAGGTAGATGGAGTTTATCAGCTTCTCTGCAGCTCAGTGCTGGTGCTTTGGGAGTGGAGGGAGGCAGTGTGGGCTCCTTCTTTGGAGCAAAGTAGCTCCTCAGACCCCCATCAGTCCTCCAGACTTCACTTGAAGTCAGTAAAGACTGTGGAATTCTCCCATGGCTGGGACTGCAGCAGTGGTGGGGTCGCTACGCCTTCTGCTTACCTCTTCTTAGGAAAATGGCAGCAGTGGAGCTGAGGTAGCAGCAGACAGCAAGCTTTGTTCTTCTCGCTACTGAACTTTAGACTCTCAATTCTATTTGCAGATCTTATCACTTCCTTACTGAAGTTTTTCTCTCAGTCTTTTCAGTTTTAACATTTTATATATGAATAATTTTCTAGGCAAGGTGGTATCCTCTAGCCAGGGAGCCAGGACAGGAGTGGCAGCAGCAACAGTATGCTCTCTGTTGGTTTTCAGAGTTTCTGTACCATTTGCAATTCTTGTCACTTCTTTACTGAAGTTTCCTTCAATCAGTCTCCTCAGTTCTA